TTAATTTAAATTTTTGTTTTTAATTGATAATATGAACCCCAAAAATCTGAGACAGGTCTTAGTTAATTTAGAAAGTTTATTTTGCCAAGTTTGAGGACAGGACATCCTGACAAAGTGTGCCCAAGGTGGTCAGAGCACAGCTTGGTTTTATACATTTTAGGGAGATATGAGACATCAGTCAACATATATAAAATGAACATTGGTTTGGTCCAGAATCAAGCAAAAGCGGGACAACTCAAAGTGGGGAGAGGGTTTCCAGGTCACAGGTAGGTGACAGACAAATGGTTGCATTCTTTTGAGTTTCTGATTAGTCTTTCTAAAGAAGGCAAACAGATATGCATTAATCTCAGTGAGCAGAGGGATGACTTTGAGTAGAATGAGAGGCAGGTTTGCCCAAAGCAGCTCCCCGCTCCGCTTAAATTTTCCCGTTAGCTTAGTGATTTGGCGGGGGGCTAAGATATTTTTCTTTCACAATAAATAGTAATTATTTACATGCATACCACTGATTTTTAATTTGTACTGAAAGTCCTAGCTAATGCAATAAGAAAAGGAAAGAAAATAAAAGGTATGCAGATTAGAAAGGAAGAAATGAAACTGTCTTTCTTTTAAGATAACAATTTGTGTACATAGAAAATCCCCAAGATTAACCAAAAAAAAACCCTCCTGAGACTAATAAATAATTATAACAAGCTTGTAAGACACAAGATTAACATATACAAGTCACTGCTTTTCTATATACCAATAATGAATAGTTGAAATTTGATATTAAAAAGATAATACTATTTATATTAGCACTAAGAAAAATGAAACACTTAGGTACAAATCTAACAACATATGTTCAAAATCTATGTGAGGATAACTATAAAACTCTAATGAAATTGAGGAAGGAGACCCTTAATCCTCTTGAGCTTCTAGGAGCCCTTTCCCCTAGACTTCCACATTGCATTCCAATAGGAGAAGTAAAGGCTGGCAGACCCGGGTGCCATCCTTAATCACACTCCTATAGATTGCAAGCATGGTATGGAGGAATATTTCCAGAAGGCATTGTTTTTACTTAAACACAATCAAACCCCCACCTAAGTCACATACCACATGCCTACTTCATGGATCAAGATATTTTTACATGTAATTTCTAGAGTTGTAAGCCCAGGCCCCTTTCACATGTGATTTCTAGAGTTGTAAGCCCAGGCCCCTTTCATATGTGATTTCTAGAGTTGTAAGCCTTTAAAAGGACCGGGATTGTCTTTGTTGGGGAGCTCAGCTTTAGGCAACTGTGCTGCTGCTGCTTCCTGCCAAATAAATCACCGCTTCATTCCCAGTTTGGTGTTTGAGAGGTTTGTTTTGTGGCCTTTCCTGCTACAAAATAAATAAAAGATCTAAGTAAATGCAAAGATACTCCATGTTTATGAATAGAAAGACACAATATTATTATCAGTTCTTCCCAATCTGATCTATAGATTCAATGCAATCCCAGTCAAAATCCCAGCAAGTTATTTTGTGAATATTGACAGTCACATCCTCAAACTGATGTGGAGTGGCAAGGTTCAGAATAGCTAATATAATATGCAGGAGAAAAGTTAGATGTCTTCAAGACTTGTTACAAAGCTACAGTAAAAGACAGTATGGTATTGGCAAAATAATAGGCAGAGCAATGAAATAGATCAAAGAGCCCAGAAAGAGACTACACAAATATAATAGACTGATCTTTGACAAAAGAGCAAAAGCAACCTAATGGAGAAAGACAGTCTTTTCAACAAATGATTTTGTGATGACCAGATATACATGCCCACAAATGCATTTAGACACAGACTTACATCCATCACAAAAAATAAGTCAAAATGGGATCATAAACCTAAGTGCAAACCACAAAACTATTAAACTTTTAAGGATAACACAAGAGTAAATCTAAGAGTTTGGTGATGACTTTTTAGATATGACACCCAAAGCATGATCCATGAAAGAAAAAAATGATGTTTGGCTTTATTAAAATTCATCACATCAGTTGTAAGAGATATTGTTAAGGCATGAAAAGCCACATACTGGGGGAAAAAGATTTTCAAACCACACATTTGATAAAGGATTTGTGTCTAAAACACAAAAAGCCAAAACAACCCAATTAAAAATCGTCAAGAGATATAGACAGACACCTCACCAAAGAAGATATACAGAGCAGAGATGAATAAACTATGGTACATCCATGCAGGGAATATTACTTAGCAATAAAAAGAATTGAGCTATTAAGCCATGAAAAGACATATTAAAAGCATATTACTAAGTGAAAAAATCAATCTGAAAAGGCTACCTACTGCTTGATTCCAACTGAAGGACATCCTAGAAAAGGCAAAGCAATGGAGACAGTAAAAGGTTCTGTGGTGACCAGGGATTGGGAGGGATGAAAGGCGGATGAACAAGTGCGCATACTATAATGATGGATGCTTGACACGATCACTGGTCAAAACCCACAGAATGCACACCACCAAGAGGGAACCTAACGTGAACTGTGCAGTTTGATTAATAATAATGTATCAACTGGCTCATCAATTGCAACGAACGTACCATGCTAATGCAAGATAGAAATCACTAAGGAAACTGTGCTTGGGCATATTTGGGAACTTTAAATAGTTGCCAGTCAACTTTTTGGTAAAATCAAAACTACTCTAAAAAAAATTAAAGTAAAATAAAGCCTACTCATTAAAGAGAAAAAAAAAAGTCTCTAAGATTCATCTCCAGTCCCTGGACCTACCATTTAGAGCCCTGCACAGCAATGGGACACCAGCTGTGTGAACTCCTGCAGCCTCCTCCAATGGAGAGAGGCCCCTGTGTGAGTGGCTCTGTGTCTGATGCCCCTGCAGGGTGGTCTGCACTGCATCCCTGTCCTGCGGAGTCCAGGGAGCGCCGATGGGTATCAGGTCGACACGCCGGCCCCGACCTGCTTCTCCCTGGGCTGTCCCTCCCATGGAGCCCCCTCCATCTGCCCCCAGGTTGGTTACATCCCCAACAACAGGTGACTTGGTGGGGGAGGCTTCCCGTGGGCTGCTCTCTCAAGCAGCTGGTGTTCGATGACTTCGAGGCTCTTCCTTCATTGTTCTCATCTATTATATCATCCTGCTGCCCACAGCAGGCACGCAGAATGCTCTCCAAGGCTGCTGGTTTGCAGACTGATGACCAAGGAACCTTCGCCTTCCTCCTCCACCTTCCACATCCCTCCCTGCTACAGGCCTGCCCAGATCGTTGGGGGCACAAGAGCAGCACCGGGTCGCATGACTGGCCAACTTCCACCTTGTCTGTGTGCATGTGCATGTGAAGATGTGTCTGACTTGAAGTGCACACCCCTGTGCCTTCCTGCATGGGTCTGCGTGTGCACACATCTCCCTGGGAGGGCCGGATTGCCCATGTGAGTGTCCCTCCTTTTGTGTGTCCCATGTCCCTGGGTGCACCTGTCTGTGAGTCTGTATGTGGGTGGCTTCCTGAGTTGTTTTGCCTGTTTAAAAAGTTACAAAGCCCAGGAGCAGTGGCTCATGCCTGTAATCCCAGCACTTTGGGAGACCAAGGCAGGCGGATCACGAGGTCAAGAGATCGAGATCATGCTGGCCAACATGGTGAAACCCGTCTCTACTGAAAATACAAAAAGTAGGTAGGCCTGGTGGCGGGTGCCTATAATCCCAGCTACTCAAGAGGCTGAGGCAGGAGAATCGCTTGAACCAAGGAGGCAGAGTTTGCAGTGAGCCGAGATCGCACCACTGCACCACAGCCTGGATGACAGAGCAAGACTCCGTCTAAAAAAAAAAAAAAAGAAAGGTACAAAAACAGCCTAATTTTAAAAATGAATAAAAGATTTTGACAGTCCCCTCACCAAAGAAGACTTACACACGACTAGTAAGCATGTGAACCTCAGCACCATGAGTCATGTGTGGAATGCAAGTGAGGAACCGCCGCAGAATACCAGGCGCTGGTGAGGATGTGCAGAAACTGGAACCATCGTATATTGTGGACAAGCAAAATGGTATACACAGTTCAGAAGACAGTTGGATACTGCCTTAATAGTTAAACATACACGTACTTATCTATGACCCAAAAATCCTACTTGTAAATCCTTTTTCATTCCCAAGAGGAGTGAAAAATGCATGTCTACAGAATAACTTACATACAGATGTTCAAAGCACATGCATTCCTAACAGCTCCGAACTGGAAACAACCCAAATCCCCACTTACCGGGGATCAGAGCCTATCTATGCAATAGAACACTACTCAGCAATAAACAAGAGCAAACTACTGATACACACGGGAACATGGACCAACATCCCAAAATATTATGCTGAGTGAAATAAGCCAGACACAAACAGTGCCTAAGGCATGAGCCCGTCCTTTCCCAGAAAGCAGAGCAGTGGCTGCCTTCGGCCATGGGTTAGGGAGGGCTGAATATGAGGTCATATGACACAATTTTTGGTGACAAATGTTTTACCATGATTAGTCAAACCTCATGAAATCGTACCTCAATCAAGTCAATTAAAAGTATTTTAATGTATACTAGAATAGATGGTTATTTTGGGAAGAGAGAGAGTATCTTCAAAGTGAGTGAATGACTGCTGCTCCTTCATGTTTATTAATAATTATGAATTGTAACTATACACTTCACGATGGGATGGGCGGCAGCAAGGCCAAATTAGAGAAGCAACCAAAAGCACAGAAATTCAACATCAAAGTTCCAAACTGATTGTAAAATTTAATCAACACATGAGAAGGGACTGTCTGAAAAGATCATTTGAACCAGTATTGGCATTCTTTACCCTGGTGCCCCTGGCCAGCGTACATTGGTATAAATCAGCACCCCTGGGTGAGTGAGCTTGAAAATCTACGTCCTAACCTCATCCAGTTACAAACCAGATGTGTAGCCTCAGGCAAGTCACTTAATGCTGGCTCATAGTAATTCTACACTTCTTGGTCTGAAATATGCAATGCTATTTTTTTTAAAAAAACAAGGATAAAATTAGCAACTTCTATAATATCACAAGGGCAGGTTTTATTTATGAGGGTTAACGACAGGTACCAAAATCAAATAAGCAAGCAGGTTTGCTGGGGAGAATTTCTCTTCGTTTTCCTTCATCTGCAAATGACTTTATTTCGTCTTCATTCCTGAAGGAAATTTTCGGGGTAAAGAATTCTGTGTTGACAGTTCTCTTTCAGCAGTTAACAAACGCCATCCCACGGCCACTGACTCACGGGCCTGTGAAAGAAATCTGCGGTTGTCAGAGTCATTGTTCCCACACAAGGACGAGAAAGGACAACCACCAATAAAAGATGGAAAAGAATTTCCTCCACTCCCTCTGACCGGCAGGGCCTGCAGGTTTTTCTGTTTTTCAGGCTGGAAATAGAGGGCCTGCCTTGGGATTTTTCTGTTTCATACTCAATATCCAATTCCAGGTTTTCAGCTGCCTTTGAGGTCAAATTGGAAGATACTGGAGGGAAAAGAAGAAAGATAGGGCTCAAGTGGGACTCGATGCTGGTACGATAGTTCTTTCCATTCTGGCTTCCACCCCCAGGCAGCCCGCTACCATCTGCTTCCAGGAATCCCGAGGGCTGCCCCATGGCCACCGTCCAGCACTTCCCTTTTACTCCTTGGAGCCCCCAACCTTGTTGTGACCCCAATCATGTTTTCATAGATTCTTCTCTGACACATTGCAAGTTCCATGAGGGCAGAGACCACATGTGGTTTATTAATCGCTTCATCCTCTGGCCTTAGCTCAGTGTTTTTTGCATAGGAGTTCCCCCTCAAAAATTCACTGAATAAATCAATCCATAGCGAAGACTAAATCAGATGACGTTCGTAAAGCAGCTTGCAGGATGCTTGTTGTAAAGATGTTCAATATCAATCACTGAGAGCATCTATTACTGCCTGCAGAGACTTGGAGCCTGCCAGGTCCAACTTGCTTCGTTTTAACTGGTTAATACAGAGGCATTTGACACAGAGCAAAGAATGCCTGCAAGTCACTAACCTATGTGGACGAGTGAGACACCGCTCCCGAAATGTTATCCATAGCCCCAAGAAACTCAGCATTTATTGTGCCACATCTTGTACAGAAAAATACAAGAACTGTTTTGCACACACACACAAAAACAGTATCTACATTAGAATTCGTGAAAGTGGATTTTCTCCATTTCTTTTATTATTTCAGCCAACAGAGGGGAACTTACATGTTCTGGGGGGAACCCTTGGTACCTAATACTTTGAAAAGATGATGCCCATTCTCTTCTGCAAAACATATATTGCAGAACCCCTTCCCGCCCCAAGGTGGGGCGTGTGCATAGCGCACTCCAGGAGGAGGATTTTCGTGATGGTGTTCTGTGAATGGTGCAGCAGCGGGGCCAGGCAGCCTGTGACCCACCCAACAGCACTCACATCTCCAGTCCAGCCTTCTTCCCCTTTTGCCAAACCAGTGAGTACCCTCAGGGGTAGAAACGAAACTGGAACCATGGCAAGAAAGCCTGGGAAATGGAGCTTCCAGATTCTAATCTCTGCAAGAAGACCTCAGCAGGTCAGGCAGAGGACGGAGCAGGAACACACTATCTGCTGCTTTCTTGAGACGGTCATAGCATCATTGTCTGTTAACGGTTATTGCAGGAAATTACACCGATAGGTTCCCTAACCTTGAACCATCTTTTCATTCCTAGGAAAGGTGATCTCCTAGCACATCGCATTATCGTATTTGTTCATGTTTTAGTTGAAATATTTTTGTGTCATTAGCACAAGTGGGGTGTCCCATATATTTTCTGCACTAGTGAGGTCTGGATTTGGTGTCAGGGAAATACTAGCTTTATTGAATGAGTTGGAGATCATCTTTTTATATTCTGTGGAAGAGCTTTTGTAAGTATAATATTCATATGAATGTCCTCATGCCTCAGAAATGTAGACTCTGCCTGCGAAGCAGTGTGGGCCTGTGGGCCTCTGATTACCCCTTCCGTTTTTCTTCTATGGGTGATCCTTCTCTTTAGATTTTTTCCCTTTCTTTAGATCTCTTCTCCTCTTCTGAATTTTAGTTAGCCCATTCCCAAATATTTCTAAATAGTTTTTCATTTTTTTAACACATTATCTAGAAATTTTTTTTAATTTGCAAGTAGATGGATTCTTTTTCAAGATGGCAGAGACAGATGTCATTTGGCAATGCCAGCTGCGGTCCCTGCCTCCTTCCCTGCTTTAGGGAGCAGCCCCTCTGTTCAGCGTGGCGGTGCATCCTGCTCTCAGGCCCAGCTCCTGCTTCATCTAAGGTGGAACTCTGGCTCTTTCTGTCAGATACTGGATTTCCAGCCTCCCTTGTGATTGTAGTGTGGGTGCGTGGCCTCATGTGGCCTCTTTCTGCCTGTTTTGGCTGTGAAAATACAACACCTGGAGTTACAATCAAACTTACAAAGTAGGCGAAAACTATGGGCTTTGCCCGAGCTTGGCTCCTGCATCTACCAACTACGAGCTGTATGGCCTCGGACAAGTTGCTGAATTGTTCTATGCCTCAGTTTCCCCACCTGTAAATGAGGAAAAATGACATGTCCCTCATGGATAAATATGAGCATGTAACATATTGTAACGCATAACAATATGGAAGGGGCCTCGAACAACAGTTGGCACAAGGCAAGTCAAACACAATAGCATTACCATCAGAATAATCATGGCCATTAACACCGTCACAATCATACCGCCATCTTGGGACCAAGAGACCGAGACAGAGCAGGGGGAACGGGCTTGGAGTCTCCGTGAGGATGTCAGACAGAGCCTGGAAAACGCAGCTCTAGACACTCAACGAACAAGAAATACCGTTAGTTTCTCTGCTAATTTTTACTGGATGCATTCTAACCAATATGCCTCATCACGTTTTTCACTAATTCAAAAACTGACGCCAGGCACCCTTCTAGGCTCTGGCGTTACAGCCGTGAACAACGACAGCAACCCTCTGCCTCTCAGGGCTGACTTCTTTGGATACTAATTTCTAATTGTCTTCCACCAAAGTCAGAGAAATTAGCCTAGTGAAGTCGGTGTTGGGGACTGAGATTTTGTTCCTAGCAGGATTTTTGTAAATATTCCACAGGTGTTTGAAAAGAACACAGACACACACTCTTAGTATATGAGGAGCGAAGTTTAGGTTCAGGTTCTTTTTTTTTTTGCAACGAAGTCTTGCTCTGTCACCAGGCTGGAGTGCAGTGTTGTGATCTCAGTGCACTGCAACCTCCACCTCCCAGGTTCCAGTGATTCTCCTGCCTCAGCCTCCCGAGTAGCTGGGACTACAGGTGCTCACCACCACACCCAGCTAATTTTTGCATTTCTAGTAGAGACAGGGTTTCACCGTGTTGGCCAGGATGGTCTCATGATCTGCCCGTCTCCACCTCCCAAGGTGCTGGGATTGCAGGCGTGGGCCACCTCGCCAGGCCCAGGCTCATTTTTAATTCCATATTGATGTCCAATTTCTCCAGCACCACTGGTGGAACTGACTGCTTACTATTTCTCCCTGGAACTGCTGTTGCATCTTTGTCAATCCAGACGCCTCTATTTCTGGAGGAGATGGGAGGAAAGAGAAAAGGCAAACAACGAAAATGCCCACAAGAAAAATACCAAGTGTTGACCAAGACGTACGGCCAAGACACAGCCCGAGCGTGACTCTCCCTCCCTGCTGCTGTGAACCGGCATGACCTTGTTGGCTGATCTGTCTTGGATGAACAAGCCCTTGGCCCTAGCGTGCCACTCCCAGGTATGCCCTCAAGTAGACACGCTCAGAGACGTACAACAAAAAGCGCAAACTAGAATGTTCCCAGCAGCACTGTCTGTAATAGCCCCAAACTGGAAGCTAACAACGTGCTCATCATCAGTAGAGCAGATAAACCGTAGTGCATTCATGCAGTGGGTTACCATGTAACAGCCAGAACGAAGAGTTTAAGCCACAGGCGAGACTGTGTCGAAATCTCACCGACTAAACGTTGAAACAAAAGAAACAGGTGCTGAGAAGGCCATGTACTGTGTAGCTCTGTTTATGTAAAGTACAAGAACCAGCAGAACTGCTCTGTATCATTGGAGGGCAGGCCAGCAATTTACCTTGGCCGGGAGCAGGAGCTCCAAGAGGGCAGTGGGGCAATTTCAGAGGTTATGGGAGGTTCCGTCTCTTGATGTGGATGCCAGTTACACAGCTGCGCTCCGTCAGTGAAAAGGCATCACGCTGTACACTCCTATGTACTTTTCTGCCTATGTATTCTATTTCAAAGAAAAGCCTGGAAAAGAGGGAAGGAAAGGTGGTACTTCACTAGAAGAAAACACTAAAGTCCTTCACAGTAAGAAGAAAGTCAACCTCATTTTTGCAAACGGGGTGCAAGACGCCTGCCAGCTCCATAAGCAAGTGTCAAAACCAGTCCTTCTGGCTGCCTCCCCACCCCTCCATGCAGGTATCCTAAGTTTCAGGTTCTAGAGGGTTACAGAGGATGCTGGCAATGAGCCACATGACAGGACACGCCCCTCATGAACTTAAAATCTTGCTAAAAGAGAGGACCCCCACCCCATCGCACCCTCCAAAGCTAAAAGTGCAAGGTACCAAGTAATTCAGGGTCCACGTGTAAACCTCAGCTCAGAGTCATGGGAACTCTGCCTGAAGACCGCCATCGGCTCCCATCAACACATTCTCACCGTGAGATCGTCCGCATCTGGAGGTGTGGCTCCTTTTAAAATCAGGTGTCTTGGACCACACCACTAATACAGTGTGTCGCTAAGGCAGGCTGTGGAGACCAGAGTGGCTGTTAAGGAACCAGCTAAGAAGTGCTTCATGTATACGTCCGTCTTCAGCACTGACATTTCACGCCATTTCTGGAGCAGCACAGGGCCCCTGAAAACTCCTGTTGGGAGCAAGAAATTCATCTTTTTTCTTGATGAGAGTGGAAAATTGCTCATTTTCTCCCGGGGAAGCTGCAGGGATTCACATTCTCAAAGGCACAGAAATGGTCCATAGACGGGAGTTTTTCCTGCCTCCTCTCTCAATGGCTCTCTCTCATTCTTTCTCTCTCTCTCCTCTCCCCCGTTCTCTTTCTCCCTCCTTCCTCCCTCGCTTAGAATAGGGAATGGGAAAAACTAGGCCTGAATCCTTCAATGTTATTAGCAGAGGCCAGGGAAAAAGAAAACTCCCACTCACCACCCTAGACCCGCATGTGTGCGTCAGGAACATTCTAGCTTCAGATATGGAAAGCAGGCTTTGAGGGCTAGAAAGGCTTTAATTACCGAGAATTAGTAAACAGGGCTGGGGGTCGTGGCTCAGGCTTGCAATCCCACCACTTTGGGAGGCCAAGGCCAGAGGATTGCTTGAGCCAGGAGTTTTCTGAGCAGCATAGTAAGATCCCATCTCTCAAAAATAAATAAATAAAAATTTAAAGAAAGAATTAGTAAATGGTCAGAGACACCTCGATATAAACGTTTTTAATAAGCTGTGCCATAGAGCTGTCGCTTTGGGATCAGGATGTTAAATAATAATAGGTAGTTGTTTTAATAAAGATTCTCATTTTTGCTATAAAGGAAAATATTTAGTATTGCCACTAGAAAGGCACCGCAGATTCCACTTAGAACCACTGTTCAAGATGAAGAGCAATGCTCTAGGCACCGCCAGCATTTCCTGGCGTCTTGCCCTTTCTGTGGCGAAGTTTGATTGAGTTGAAAGAGGCTTAAATATCAAAATCACCAAACAAAGCATATAAAGTAGAGACAGTGTGCTGACCCCGAGCTTCACTTAAACAACGTGGGAGGTAACGGGGAGGAAGCTATGGAGTTCACCGTCGGGTGCCGTCCCCCGGGCCTTCCACCGCACCCCCACCCCCACCGCGACCCTGAGACAGGGGCTGCTCACCTCCAGGCACAGACAAGGTGACCCGAGCTGCGAAGGGTTTTGCCAGAGTGTCCAGCTGAGTTAGTGACCGAGACAGTCCACGATTGTGGCCTCTAATTCGGAAGCCAGGGCTCCTGCCTGTGATACCCCCGTCCATGTCAACTGTCCCCTCGGAAAATCAGCTGGTTTCAAAGAACTCTTCAGGTGATCCAGAAGGCTCTGGACCCAGAGGCTCTGCAGGGCATGCTGAGAGGCCCAGTGCCTTGGCGGCCCTGTGGGAACGGGCCTGGAAGACCCGCCCCACCTTCTCCTCTGCCCAGCGGCTCCAGAGCCTCCCAGGCATCCAGGGTCCAAGGGTGGCTCTTGTTGACTTGGTTCTAGTAAGAGAAAAGTTTTCTGGAAAAACAAACAACTCATTATCCAAAAGTCAACATTTTCAACGGCCTCACAAGTGGGTTCCACTCCATGGCTTCTCCAGCACCGTGCGCCCTCTGCATGGCCTCTGGGCCACCCCGATCCCTCCCGCGGCCACGGATGGCGGCACCAAGGGAGTCCCTGCTCTTGAGAAGTCTCAGCCCATGTGCGAGTGCAGAAATGGGAAACGTGCCTTGACCGAGAGGAGGAGGAAACAGCCACCGGCAGGCAGCCAAGGGGCCACTCTCAGCGCCTTGGGACCCCGGAGGCCAGGCCTGCGTCCTCTCCGTCCTTGCCCTGCAGAGGAGTCAGAGTGACCTCCAAAGTCTGCTTGTTGCTCCGCTGATGCTCAAGGAAACACAGCGACAGGGCACAGTCTGGTGGGACGTCTGCGTTAGTCTCCCAAGGATGGCCTCACTCACAAAGCGCCACAGACCGTGTGCCTTACACCACCGAGGGGTGCTCGCCTACAGTCCTGGAGGCGGCAAGGCCCAGCTCAAGGTGACTCCGGGCTGCTACCTTCTAAGACTGTGAGGGGGGATCCATCCCAGGCCTCTCCCAGCTTCTCCTGACTCACTGGCCTTCCTTGGCGTGGAGAGGCATCTCCCTGACCTCTGCCTCCATCTTCCCGTGGCATCCACCCTGGGTGTGTGTCTGTCTCCAAATGTCCCCTTTGGATAAGGACCTGCCCTACTATATTCCAGCGTGGCTTCATCCTAACTCATTACCTCTGCAACTACCTTACTTCTAAGTAAGGTGACATTCCAAGGTCCTGGGCCGGTGGCGGGGGGGTGGGGTGGGTAGGACCATAACATATAAATCTTGGGAGAGGAACACAGGTCAACCCATAATAATGCTGACAGAAGTCCAGCCTGCAGCTCGGCCACTGTCCTACCTTGGATGCAAACTGCAGTTGCATCTGCCCACACCACGCTTCCTCCGCTGGCGAAGTGGGAAGGTGGCGGCTGCCTGTCAAGATGGTCATAAGCAACCCAGGAGACACAGAAGCACCTCTCACGTATGTCACGTGCCTGAGGCTTGCCGTGTGCTCAGAAAGGCATGGACGGCACTGCTCTCATTGGCAGGCCATTCCGCCAGTCTCTCCCGGCCCCAGGTGTAAACATCCCTTTTCCACACTCCCTGCCAGCATCAGCGGCCTTCGGAAAACCACTGAGAGGCGAGCGATGTGTTGACGTGCTGTGAGTCGAACAGCTCACTCGACCGCTCCGGTGCAGCCCGGGGCTGGGGCCGGCTTTTCTCTTTGACGTTTTCCTAATGGCGCTGCCTGGGCTCCACGTGCTTTGAAGAACGAAGTCAGTGGCAGGGAGCTCTGGGTTGGGCTGCACGTGCGGAAAATGTACTGATTTATTTTTGCATCCAATCTTGTTCCAGAAAGGATTCGAGGGGCGTGTGGTGAATCAGATCCATTTCAGCCCAATGGCTCTATGCTTCACAATTAGTGGGAGGGGACTGAATAATTAGAAAATAGAAATAATCCCAAACCCCCACTTATTCCAAAGGTGGCATCTTAGACCTGTCGTACTCTCGTTAAAGGCATTTTGCTTTTGAACTAGGATGCTCTCAGCATGTGGAGGTGATGAGAACAATGATGGTGGCAATGCGGTGATGGCAAGGTGATGGCCAACACGTGAAAACTCATCCTCTGATGGACCAGGTGCTGTTCGAAGGGAGGAAAGAAAAGGAGGAGGGACAAGGGGAAGAGGGAGGGGAGAAAATGGAAACAAGGGTTGGATGAAGAAGAAAGTGAGAAGAAAGACCGCGTTAGGGACCCGCAGTGTGCTTCCTAACCCCTAACCAAATCCCAGGAGCAAGCTCACTCGCTCTTTCAAAATTGTGACTGATTTCAGAGAAGAGTCTGTGGTCTGTGGTGGATCACGTTAGCCATTCATCTCCAGAAAGCCACATCTGGGCCTGGCTCTCACCACGAGGCTCTGGCGACCTCTCCATTTGCCCCTGGCAAGCCTTTGCCATATTAAATACTGTCCGCTTTGCAGCGAGCAGGTAGGCAGACGCTGCTCCGGGGCCATCCCCAGGGACACCTCAGCCGGCTTAGCGTGCAAGACGGCACCTGGTGAACTGTACGGGGAGGCCAGAGGGCACGCAGCCGCTTCCTCAATGCCCCACCTCCATCTCACCTGCGGTGCCCCTTCCACATCAGCCACATGTGGTCTCCTACATGGCCACAAGTGCCACATTGGCAACTAGTCACACTTAAGCCCCCCAGTGACCTAGAAGCAAAAGGGAGAATGAAACTCGGAAAAGAGTGAATACAGCTGCACTCGCTGCAGGGGCTTGGGGAGGGGCTGTGATCAGATGTCTGAGTCGGCCAGTGGGCACTTGTCCATAGCTGCAAGGATGTCCTGGCAGGGTGATCACAGGGTGCTCTGTTGAGCAGGCTCCAAGCTGACAGCTCCTTTGGTTTGCTCACACACCAGTAGCCATTGCTCCTAGCAAGGCCCCCCAGCCCCCCTTCCCATCCAGCACACACTGCTGGCACCCCCACTCAACCCCCCGGCACTGCCCCTGAATTTCTATCATAGAGAGCTAGCTCTCCATTGGCAACGCTGGTGCCTGTCCCTGCCAGCAGCCCCAAGTCAGCACCATGCCCGGCTGTTCATCATTAAATTGAAAAAAGGAGGAGGGTCCTGTCTTGATTCCCTTCCAACAAAGAGGCTCCTTGGTGACTATGCAAATGTGCCCACCTTCTCCTGGAACTTGCTGTGCCAACCAGCTTTGAAATCCCAGAGGGGCCCTGTGTCCCTTCCCCCAGGGGCCCGGCTAGCATTCGGATCACTGAGGATTTGGCAGGAGCCACGGATGAAGGTCAGGAGCACCTGCTCCCGGCGCACATCCCGCCTGGATAGCTGTGAGGCAGCCAGTGGCTCTTCTTCAGAAGCAGTCTCAGGTCTGCCTGCCCGTGACAGCCCCGCTGTGATACGCACCATGTCCCAGCTGTGCGTTCACATGGAATTCTCATCTCATTCTGTCTTATCTGATTCTCACCGAAAGTCTGAGTCCTGCTCGCCACCTGGGGAAACCGAGGCACAGAGGATCCAAGTGACTTGTCTTCTCATACATGGAGAAGGTGAGGTTGAAACCAGACCCAGGACATGGCAGAGACCCCTCTCGTCCCTTTGACCATTCCAGAAAAGGACCTGCAAGAGACAAAGTAGTTTCCAAAAGGCCTCCAGGCAAGGGGGGGCCTCCAGGCAAGGGGGACTCTGATAATACTCCTGGCTCAAAGTTGTTTTGGAGCAAAGCCCTCCCAGTCCCATGGCAATGGCAGGAGAAAATGATGGGGGCGGCTGCCTCCCCAAGGACTGCACACTGGGGTGAACTGAGGCTACTTAATACATTCAGTCCATCAGAGTAATGCCTTGTAATTAAGATTCCTGGGAATGAAGGAGTACCGGGGCGTTCCATGGAAGATCTGCCTTCAAACGGTTCAGGTCAGCCTTAGGCTCAAGCACGGCTCTAATTGACGGCTCCCCTTGGGTCTGAAAGAAAAGATGTAATCAGACCACACAAAGCACGTCCTGTCCAATTACAAGGATCGGCACGGATGGGCTGACCTGTGACCTATAAAACAAAATTAAGATTTCCAAACATCACCAGGAGGTAGGGGGAGGGATGGCTGGTCTGCGCTCCAGCCTTCCAACTCCCCAGAGTGGAGACAGAACAAAATCGTAGCCCTGGAAAGAAATGTGGCGGACTTTGATCAGCCATTGTGCAACCTTTCAGTTGGAGACTTTCTTGTGGGGTGGGAGGGCCGGGGGGACTAACGCTCAGTTTCTTGCATTGGACATCCAGATGCATTATCACAAAAGAGCATTTCTTTACAGCCGAGCCCTAGAGTGCCAGGAAGCTAGTTCTCTAAGCCCGAATCTCCCACAGCCATAGGACATGTCAATTACGTTTGGGGGCAGTGTGGGGACGCACTGGATGTC